CCTGTGGGAAGTCCAAGGACCACCCACCTCCATCCAGGTCTAGTGAGGTGAGCATCCAAACTGCCTAGGCTCCCACGAAACCAATAGGTTCAGTAGGATCAAAAACCCATTGCCATTGTTCTTGAGGTCTCAGTAGTCCTCATTGTCCACTATGTTCAGCGAGACCGGTTTTAACCCAGGCTTTTTCAGACCCAGGCCAGTTGGCCTTGGTGAGTTCCCGATAGAACATCCCCATTGTCTCAGTATGTGGGTGCACCCCTTGCGGTCCTGAGTTCCTTGCTTGTGCTCTCTCCTTCTGTTCCTGATTTGGACCTTGAGATTTCTGTCCAGTGCTCCAATGTGGGTCTCTGTCTCTGTCTCCTTTCATCGCCTGATGAAGGTTAATATTCATGAGGATGCCTATATGTTTTTCTTTGGGTTCTCCTTCTTATTTAGGTTCTCTAAGATCACGAATTATAGGCTCATTGTCCTTTATTTATGGCTAGAAACCAAATATGAGTGAGTACATCCCATGTTCTTCTTTTTGGGTCTGGCTTACCTCACTCAGGATAGTGTTTTCTATTTCCATCCATTTGCCTGCAAACTTCAAGAAGTCCTTGTTTTTTACTGCTGGTACTCTGATACTTTGAATTTTCTTCCGGAACTAACTCTGTAGAACAAGCTGACCTTGAACTCACAGAGATCCGCCTTCCTCTGTCTCTGAGGCGCTGATATTGAAGGCACTACCATGTTCGGCCCTTTCTTCAATCTTTGAGGAACAATACAGCACTATTGACTACAGGAACAATTTTGTGAAGTAGATCTTTAGAGCTTATTCATCTTGCTCACTGATGTGAAATTTTACACGCATCAATTACTAACGCCCCATTTCCGCCTTGCTCCAATCCTCTAGCAACCATAACTTTATTCAGATTTCATGAAACTGATTACTAACTTTATATTGCTGAATTATCCAGTATTTATCTTTCTACGGATATATTCCTTTTATCAAAAGGTCTTCATGATTCATCCCTCTTCTTTGAAGGAGAAATAGTACCTCATTCTGCATAGATACCGCCTTTCCTTTTCTAGCTACCTGTTTATGGACATTTAAGTCATTTCTACATCTTGGTCACTGCATGCAGTGCTTGGAAATGTGTGAGTGAAATCCCCTCCAACACATCAAGTGTTTTAAGATCCCTTTCCCCTCTCAACCACTCTTTCTTTTCCCAGTGCTGAGGACTGAACCCAGGGATTCATGCGTGTTAGCCACTGAGTTACACTTCCATTCTCCACAATCATTTTCTCATTCACTATAAAGATGTGCTCAACATAAGTTTGAACACCAGGCATCTTGTTTGGTTTAATATTTGTTAATAAACAAAGGTGCATTTAATGTCTTTTCTTTGATTTTAAAACAGGATATTTCTATGGAGCCCAGACTGGCCTAGAAATTGCCAGATTCCTGCTTTAGCATTTATGTGTTAAGATTGCAGACACACACTGGCACAACTGGCACTGTTGTTCATTTATGTGGTTTTTTTTTTTTTGGTTTTTCGAGACAGGGTTTCTCTGTGGCTTTGGAGCCTGTCTTGGAACTAGCTTTGTAGACCAGGCTGGTCTCGAACTCACAAAGATCCGCCTGCCTCGGCCTCCCAAGTGCTGGGATTAAAGGCGTGCATCACCACTGTGCATTTATGTTATGAAACACAAACATGAGCTAACATAATATTTTTTCTAATATTACCACATAACTCATGGTCATGGTAAAACGTAATAGCTTCCTTATTTTCAAGGTAATTGAGCTGCTAGGGTATCACTATTTAAATATTATAAACTTGTATCTTATGTAGTTTAGTATAAAATGTTGATAAGACTAGTGGTGGTTGATGACAACCATCTGATGAAAATTATCAAATCAATGTGATATGTAATCGTATCTTAGGAGAAGAGGTGAGAAATAGTTTAGCAATGTAATAGAGAATATACCTTGTCCTTAACTTTCCTGACCACCGGCTGAAATTATGGTTTTACGTCACAGGTCCTCTAGTTAGGTCATTATAGTTTAAAAAACAGAAAATAAGTAAATAAAAATAATACTAATATTACTTTGTACTAAATTTACGCTAATTTCAGTTCAGTGATTGTCTCAATTGTCTTTTGCGTGTCTCTGTGCCTGTGTATGGTGTAGTTAATCAGGTACATGAGTGGGTAGACCTTATGTTTTGAGACAGGGTCTTTCCTTGAAATAAAAGCTCCTATTTTGACTAGAATGGATGGCCAGCGAATTACCAGGATCTACCTGTCTCCATTTCCATCTCTGAGATTGCAGGCATGGAGAAAGATTCCCAGCTTTTACTAGAGTTTCAAACGCAGGTCTTTATTACTGCACAGCAAGTTCTGCTGGCCACTGAGCCATCACCCCAAACCTTCAATCTTCCATTGATAATGATAAGATATTTAAGAGAATCTGATATCTTAGAGATTCTAATATGGAATTGATTTTAGTTTGAAAAGGTTAATTCAAGTTAGACTTGCTATGATTATGACTTGAAAGGTATAAGTTGATCTGAGTTCATAATAGCATTTGAATATGTAAATGTTATGAACTACTATATTATTGTTTCTACTTTATTAGATTTGCAGGAGCAGTTTCAATGAATAGGATGATTTGTGCCCATGTACTACCGTTATAGAGAGGGAAAGTTTTAAAGAACTTGTGAGCATCAAACCTATCAAACTTGGAAATAACTATTAAAACCTACAGTTTTCACTTGGTTAGCAAATATACAAAATAGAAAGAAAATATACAAAATAGTGGGCTTCTTTGTGACATTTTTCTACAATTATCATTATGTCCCTTCATCTTCCCTTTCCTCCATTCCTGCTCCTTGCCCCATTCCTCCTCTCAAATAGTATCCATTTTGTATGTTAAAATTAAGAAGATTTATTTAAATAAGTATGGTGTGTGTGTGTGTGTGATGTGTATTAGGGTATAACTTTGTGGTGATAGTTCTCTCCTACTTTTCCATAGTTTCCAGTGACCAAACTGATGTAGTTAAGCTTGTGAGGTAAATACTTTTGTTCCCCACTGAGTCGTGTCACTGCCCCACTTAAGGAAATTTAATTGTACATAAGAGTCATTTAACTTTAATTAATGGAGAAATTTAAATACTTATTTTTATTTTTAGATTTAAAGCCCCACTTCAGTAAGCAGCATAAGAAGAATTCAAATTAAGCTTAAATGTTTGAGAAAAATTGAGACTTTCAGTTTGCAACTTACATAATATTTGATAAAAGATGCAGCAACAAGTTTTTTCTTATGTGAACAACAAATACTTCAGATGTTTAAAAGACTCAAGAAAATATGAGTCCCCATTTGACAAGTATTGACTTCTGTTTCTTAATATAGTCATCGTTTTGTGAGGAAATTGCCTGTATCTAATTTTTTTTCAATACTCTGCTTTACTCTTGTACCTAACATGACTTCCGAAAATGAAGAAAGGTCCAATATCGTTATCTGTCTGGACTGATATTAGTTAAATACTCCAATCACAAAGATGAGTTTTGGAGAAAAGATTGCTTAAAGAGCAATTTTTAAATTAAATATATGTTTTAATTAAATATATGTCAACTTTCTTGAAGGATGTGACTCCTGGTAGGTAGACCACACTCCAGGGCAGACCCACTCAAGACTAGTTGGGGAACACAAATTGAACTCGACGAGATGGGGGAGAAGAAAACTCAGTTATGTGGGTGAGGAGAGAGGGATTTTGGGACCGTGGTTAGATATGATCAAAATACACTGTATGAATCTCTCAAGGAATTAATAAAACATTTTTAAGTCAAGCAAACATCCACATTGTGAATCTCACATGTGCAATATATTTTTATCAAAAACAAAGGATTCAAGTCACCCCCTTCCCCCTCAGCTCAATAGGCTGCGTTCTTTTGGAACGCACGCAGATCGGGGTTCTGAAGACTTTATCCGCATTCGCTCCTCCATCCTTTTACTCACCCACCGCCCTACCCGGCAGACCTACCCCCTCCTGTGCCAGGAACGTGCTGCCACTGGTACCATGTCCTACCCATACCCAGCACTAACCCCTGAGCAGAAAACGGAGCTGTCTGACATTGCTCACCGAATTGTGGCTCCGGGCAAGGGCATCCTGGCTGCAGATGAATCCACTGGAAGCATTGCTAAGCGGCTGCAGTCCATTGGCACTGAGAACACCGAAGAGAACAGGTGCTTCTACCGCCAGCTGCTATTAACTGCTGATGACCTTGTGAACCCCTGCATTGGGGGGGGGGTGATCCTCTTCCACGAAACACTCTACCAAAAGTCGGATGATGGACGTCCCTTCCCCCAAGTTATCAAGTCCAAGGGCGGTGTTGTGGGCATTAAGGTAGATAAAGGCGTAGTACCCCTGGCAGGAACCAATGGTGATACCACCACCCAAGGGCTGGATGAACTATCAGAACGTTGTGCCCAGTATAAGAAGGATGGAGCTGACTTTGCCAAATGGCGCTGTGTGCTCAAGATTGGGGAGCATACTCCTTCAGCCCTTGCCATCATGGAAAATGCCAATGTTCTGGCCCGTTATGCCAGCATCTGCCAGCAGAATGACATTGTACCCACTGTGGACCCTGAAATCCTCCCTGATGGAGACCATGACTTAAAGCGCTGTCAGTATGTAACTGAGAAGGTACTGGCTGCTGTGTACAAGGCTCTGAGTGACCACCATGTCTATCTGGAAGGCACACTGCTGAAGCCCAACATGGTCACCCCAGGCCATGCTTGTACCCAGAAATATTCCAATGAGGAGATTGCCATGACAACTGTCACAGCCCTGCGTTCGCACAGTGCCCCCTGATGTCACTGGAGTCACTTTCCTGTCTGGAGGGCAGAGCGAGGAAGAGGCGTCCATCAACCTCAATGCCATCAACAAGTGCCCACCGCTGAAGCCATGGGCCTTGACTTTCTCTTATGGCCGGGCCCTGCAGGCCTCTGCTCTGACGGCCTGGGGCGGGAAGAAGGAGAACCTGAAGGCTGCCCAGGTGGAATACATCAAGCGAGCCCTGGCCAACAGCCTTGCTTGTCAAGGAAAGTACACCCCAAGTGGTCAGTCTGGAGCCGCAGCCAGCGAATCTCTCTTCATGTCTAACCATGCCTACTAGGCAGAGGTGATCTGAGGCTGTCCCATCAACACTTCAGGCCCCCGCCTACCCACTTGCTTTTGAAGAGGGGCTTTCAGGCTTTTCCTTCACTCTTGATGCCCTCGTGACTGGTGTAGTGTTGTCAGCGAATGCAATGCTAGTTCTGCTATCCCTTCCAGCCCACTGCCAATAAACAACTAATTAAGGGGGAAAATAAAAAATGTAGGATTCAGGAGATTCTGTAATTGAATTCGCTGTTCATTTATTTTCTGGTGGTAGACTGTTGTGCTTTCTGTTTGACTGATTAGTGGCAGGGACACACTTGCAGGTAGGAAAGAGATGTGATTGAGCAAATTCTGCACAGGGTTTAAATTTCAATATCTTTTACCATCTAGCCATTAACATAATTAGTCAACGTGAATCCTTTAGTTTTTACAACTTAATAGGGCCATAATTGGCACCGTTTCACTCGTTAGCATGCAGAATGGACACATTTTCTCGACTTTGATGTTGTCATTCACAAGCTTCCAGTGGACACAGCATGATTCATAGGAAAGACGTTTCATGCCAAGGGAAATAGCTAGGTTGAAACGTAGCTAAAGAAACCTTCATTTGTGAGATGATACATGTTCCAGGTTTTGTCTGAGGTTTCAGATTTCTGAAAGCACTTCCATGCACACTTCCTTCTTGGTTCTCACTACAGGTATGCAATCTAGTCAGGGTAATACAACTATTATAAAATGCCATTTTGAAGACGTGATTGCCAATTGATATACATCTAAGCTGAGAAATTTTCCAGAGATCTAGTAGCTAGTGCAAAGGAGCTCAGAATAAGATTTCTAGTTCATTCCCTTCTGTGTTCTTTCTTTCATTGCATTGCTAAGCAAATTAAGCCAGGGGTAAAAGCTGTATACATTTTGCTTACTATTTGGATAAAATTATATACACTTCAGACTTTAGGCCATCGGTGCTGTACCTGAGTAAAAAAAAAATGTTAAGTGAACATTTCACTGTTATTTGACCATTTAATATCATTTGTTCTGTTTTGAATAAAAGTGAAAATCCATTGCAACATGTTGTAGAAAATGGAAAAGCCTCTCTCACGTTTTGCGATCAAAACACATATAAAAATTAGAATTCAGGAAAGAGTTAATGAGCTCAGATGGGTTGAGAAATTAAACTAAAAGGCCAGTAATAGTCTGCAGAAGGTTTCTCGGGGTCAAAAAAAAAAAAAGCTCTGCAGGAAAGATGGCCTTAAAGTCAGTCTGCCTCAGTCAATTCATTAAACAGCCCAGCAACAACAAGCCTGTACTATGTTCCCCAATTGCCGGTAAGTGGGTTTGCTTTTTGTCTTTTTGTTTACGCAGCTAGCGGCAGTTTCCATCTTAGACCCATGACATAAAACTATGTCATTAGCCTAAAGCTTTTATTTATTCATACTAAATTTCAGAAGATCATGCTGAATTCTTTTACTTAGAAGAACTGTATAAAAGCATCCCTGGAAAAAAAAATCAACATTAGTTGCTAAGTGTAGGTCTCGTACTATGTGAAAAGCAAACAAATTAAGGTTTAAAATGCATTAAAATTATAGCTCGGTATCTTGGTAAACAACTGTATTCTCAGTACTTGGGAGGGAAAGTCAAAAGGCTCAGGAGTTCAAGGGCATTTTGGGGTATATAGTGAGTTTGAAGCCAGCCTATGCTATGAGAGACTGCCACAGATAAAGTACAGTGACGTCTTTCAGGAATGAAGACACAACAAAGGACAAGCGCATGCAGAATTTTAAGAATAAGCACGTTTTAATGATGTTTAATTTTTCTGAACATTAAAACATGGGTTTTATTAGTAATAAAATCTCAAAAGAGAGCATTACCTACTGAAATTATTGACCATGTGAAGTTAATGGACCTATCTCTTGCCTTGGGCTATGAAATCTTTCAGCTAATCAGCCATCAATCTCAGAATGTGCCTATGCTAGAGTCATTAGCATGGATGAAAATTGAAAAACGAGTGATATAGGATTAATGATACAAAAGGTACAAAGTTTATGTCTAATATGTCATCACTAGGATTTTTTTCCAAAATTTGCTATCAACTTTCAACTTTTTGTGGATTTGTGACTTTCTATTTATCTGTATGTAATAGATATATACTATTTAGAGATAGTAATATATTAATCTTACTCTATATGTGTTCTCATATACTCATTCTCTCTACAAACATGTAAACATATGTGTATGTGTGTATATATAAAATACCCTAAACTTTTTTATTTTGTGCCTTTGAGAACTATGCTAACTCACAAAAATATAGAAAGCACTGTTCAAGTTAAGGAATGGACCAAAGTGCTGATCAACTAAAGGAAAAGATAAAGAAAATTAGCTACATGTATACAATCAAAGTGTTTTTCAGTCATAATGAATAGCAAGCTTGTATCACTTGGCAGAGAACGACTATATGTGGAGATAACCACATAAAGTGAATTGACTATCTCTGAAAGCCAAATATTGTGCGTTTTTTCTTATTTGCGGTTCCTGTATTTCACACATATGTGAAAGTAGAAACAAAACTATATAGGGGAATAAAGAGACTAATGAGAACTAGAAGGGATGCAGCCACGATGGGAATCAATTTGGAGGTTTCTTAAGAAAGTGAAAATGGAGCTACTATACCACTCAGTTATACCACTTCTTTGTACTTTCCCAAAGGATTCTAAGTCTTACTACAGGCACACTTGTACACCTGTGTTTATTGCTGCACTAGTCAAAATAGCTAAGATATGGAACCAGTTTAGAAGCCCATTAGCAGTTGAATGGATGCAAATTATGGTGAATATACACAACTGAACATTCAACAATAAAGCATTTGAAATAATGTAGCTTTAAGGAAAATATATTCATCTGGAAATTATTATATTAAGTGAGATTATCCAGACTCAGTAAAACAAATGCCACATTTGCTAATGTATCCAAGATTATATATGTGTGTGTGTGTGTGTGTGTGTGTGTGTGTGTGGTATGTAAATAGATCAGGAAACTGAAAAGGGGAACATAATATGTGAGAGAAAAAAGAGATCTTAAATGGGAGGAAAAAGAGGGTCATAGAATGGAAGAGACCGGAAGGGGTGGTAAGAGGGCAGAAATAGGAGAGGAGGAATGATGAAAGTACTCTGTGGACGTGCTCTATTATATGGACCCTATTTATCTACAGTGTTTTTTTTTTAAATCAAAATTCATTTTCATTTAAAAATCTTAATTAACTTTTTAATTTTTTAATTAAAGCATAATTGCATCCATTTTGCTGGTTTAATGAGGCATAATGCAAATGTAAAAAATATATTTAATTTGCATAACGTAATGATTTTATATGTGTCTTTTGAAATGATTAACACAACCAAATTAATTAACACCCATCACCATACTAAATAATTTTTGTGAGCATATATGTGTTGGAAATAATTGTATTCATAGCTGTTTATTAAATTCACAAATTTTATATACTATATACAAATACGTACGTATGCCCTCTTCAAAAATTTCAAGCAAACATTACAGCATTACTAACTATAGTAATCGTAATGTCCACTAGATCTCCAGAACTAATATTTCTTATAGCCACAACTTCCATGTGTGTTTTTTAAGAAAAATAATTATCTTCTTTAAATAGGCTGTTTTAATGTCAAAAAAAAAATGCTTGACACCAGCATTTTCAAATTAGTTATTTCTGTTAGCCTAAATTTTCCAAAAGACATTTATAGTGCTCCTTTAAGTAAGTTTCTATTTACCGTGTTTTACACTCACTGGCTTAAGCTGAATAAAAAATACTTAATACGAATTATTCTCATTATCTTATGAAAATAAAATACAGAATGACTGATTGCTCAAGTCAATTAAAATCTTTGTACAAATGTTTTTAAGTTCTATTGGAAAATAACCAAAGAGAAAGGAGCCATCTTAAACAAAAATAATAATTAAACAGTCATCATTCGCTGTCATTGACAATGGGCTAATGTATAATCTTGCTAAAATGTACTGAAGTCATTTAAAACATTGCATCTCCCTTTGGGTAACTTACAAATGGCTTGGTAAAACTACTGGAAGTTCATGCTGCAATAAGGGAAGTATGTTAATATTGAAAATGACATGCTCCAGAAATCGAGAGAAGCATTAACAAGCTATAAAGAGTTAGGTTTTATAATATTCTGAAAGATGGGTACAATGTGGGTCTTTTAAAATGACATAAAAAGGCATTCAAATAAAAGGCTAGATGAACAAAAGTAAAACCAATTATTGAGACAACATGGAGACCAGAGTGGTCAGCACCAAATTTGCCTGCAGTGTTGGGTAATAATGTTAAGAACATAAATTTCCTATCCAAAAGAACACAGGACAAAAACTTAAGATTTACAGCCTAAGTTATTATGACAGACTTTTTCAAAAACAATTTGATCAACTATTCTGAATCTCAGTTCTCTCATCTGTAAAATTACATGTTTGTCAGGAATTAAATACAAACATGTAAACTTGTAAATGTTAGCGTAATTATTATGATTATGAAAAACTAGTATTTCAGCAGAAGTACCTCAGCTATGTGTGCTAAGGCATTCATCGAGCAGGAAAATGGCATAATTGCAATAGTGCTTACGAAAAATTACTCCCATTAATGACAGTCTTGACAAGCCGTCTGGATGAGGATCAGAGGCCAGAAGCTGCAGCAGAAATCTCAGCTTCAGTGTTACACTGTGGATTATTGTGACAGCAAAGGAATTGGGGTAGAAGATACTTTAAGTTGTGGAAAGTTCACCAGTCATACACATCTACTTGTAAAAGACAATTTAATTCTACATGATTTATACTGTGTACATACCAAATTGTAAACAGTTGCCAAATAAAAAGCCTAGCACCAGGTGTGGGATACCCATCTTGAGTTGTTTTGGATGTTCCAGAGATCCCCAAAACAATGCAGATGCTTCCTATTGATTGGCTGCTCATGAGAACTTGATGGTAAGATTCTATGACTGTAGCATCATACACATTGGCCATAAGACAATCGAGCCAGTCCTAGCCAGGATGC